TCAGACTTGCAGGGTCATAGAAACCTTCTGTGCAGCCCATTGAAATGTAGATTTGGACTTACAGGGCTTCTGACCAGGCCAGAAGTTCTGCCTTTTGGACAACTTTCCAGAGTGTGTCCAAGCCGTTGGTCAGGAGCCCATAGTTTTTAGTAGGCAGGTTGTAGAGGCTCTGTTATCGTTCTCGGGACATTTCTGCCTCTGCCTCTGGTGGAAAGGACTGTGCTCCCAGCACTGGTTCTTGTGAGTAAACTGTATGTCACTTCCGGTGCTTCATTGCTGGCTTGGTTTGTCTGAGTTTGGTTAGTCTGCTTTCTGTGGTCATGGCAAATACCTGGGACAATCAGCCTGCAGGGAGGACAGGCATATTTCGGCTCCCAGTTTCAGAGGCTCCAGTCTATGGTCACTTGGCCTCTTGGCTTTGGGTTTGTGGTGGGGCCGTGCAACACAACTGGAGCATGAAGTGAAGGAAACTTGCTCATCTCACAGCATCAAGGATCTCAGTGTCCCTTCTGATGGCATGTCCCGGTGTTCTTACTTTCATTAGGCACCATCTTGTAAAAGCCCTACCATCTCTTAAGGGCAAAATAGGATGGGTGCAACCCTTTAGCCTTCAAAGGACATATAACAGCCAAACCATAAGACCCTCTAAACTGTCCCTTTTCCTGGAGTAATTGGCAATATTCCAGATAGTGTCTACCCGAGCAGATGGGTCCTGAGCTGGGGGAGGATAGCATGGAGTGCTGCCCTCAGCTGACCTGAGGCGGACGTGTAAGTGAAGACAAGACATTATGCTAATTGTCTAAAGTAATTGAGACTTGGGAGGTTGTGGTGGCATGACCTGACCCATCCTGACCCACTTACACCCCACCTCCCCCACAGGCTTTCGCTCTGTAACCGGCTGTTCTGGAACTCACTTTGTAGACATGCCTGGCTTAGAATTCCCAAGGAGCCACCTGTCTCTGCCTCACAAGTGCTTTCAGGTGGGTGCCATCTGTGGCCAATATGTAGGATTTGAACTTGGTCCACCTGGTCCAAACACATTCTTATCATATCTGCTCTAGATCTTCCAAAGAGATTTTAATAATTGCAAATGTGTCTGTGGTACTTTATTCCAGGAAACATTATACGTGTTTTAGCTATTTTAATGCAATTCCCAGAGAGAGAGAGACAGAGAGATTATCAACATCAGCATCCTCACTGATAAGGGTTTCGGAGCATAGAGAACCCATGGAACTTGTCTGGGATCACACAGCTACAACATGGCAGGATTTGAACTAAGCAGCTGACTCTATTGCAAGAATCCATGCCTGTACCTACTACATTTGATTCCTGAAGGCTAAGCCCATGCATCTATCTAATTATATAACTATACATATAATTAAGCTGTATTCTATCTCTCTCTCTCTCTCTTTCTTTCGATTGAAGGGTACTTTCTTCTCTATTGGCAATTATTGCAGTTTATTTTTTAACACTGACTTCAACTATTCCGCAAAGCTAGCCCGATGTGATTAGATTTTATTTTCAGTTTGTAAAAGAGGGAGTGGGAGGCCTCTGGGCCTGAACCCTCTTCTAGCCTTTACGCCTCCCAGCTCCTCCTCTGTGTGTGGGGATATTCCTGCAGTAGGTCCTCTGCGTTCTATCTCCTGCCTCTACTTCTGGGCATTATGCAGTTGTTCTCAAGGTGTCTTGGTCAAGTGTTTTTGTTGTTGTTGTTGTTAAGAGACATCATAGCAACCCTTATAAAGAAAGGCATTTAACTGGGGCTTGCTTACCGTTTTAGAGGTTTAGTCCATTATCTTCATGGCAGAGAGCAGGGCAGTGGGCCGGCAGACTTAGCAGCTGAGCGTTCTACCCACATCCCAGTCTGAAGGCAGCAGGAAGCAAAAGAGACTCAGGGATTGGCATGGGCTTTTGAAATCTCAAAGCCCACCCCCAGCGGCACTTCCTCCAGCAAGGCCACTCCTCCTAATCCTTTTGAAATAGTGCCACTCTCTAGTGACCAAGCATTCAAATCTATGAGCCTATGGGGCTATTACTTACCCCACCACACAAGCCTTGGACAAAGCTCCTTGTCCTTTAGGCCCTGAGTTTCCTTGCTATTTCCCCTCTCTCTAGGTATTCTAAGACTATGAATCTTGGTCTGCCAGGACATGAAGACCCTGGGGTCCCTGGGAGGTTTAAGGTGGGTCCTACTAGCTTTGGAGGTAGGCTGGGGATATAGAAGCTAGTGGGGCTTATCAGGCTAGGGAATCCTGGAGATCCTTGAAAGCAACAACTGTCTCTCCCACTTGTTCAGGTGGCCGCACTGAAAAATGTGTCACACACAACTGTCTTTGTGGAAGTCAAGCTTTGTTTTTTTATAATACACACACACACACACACACACACACACACACACACACACACACTCAGGGTAGGAGTTGTGAAGAATTAGGGAAATGCTTAAGGATGCAAGCGCTTCAAGTAAAAAACAAAGAGGCCACCACGGCACTCCCAGGCTGTGAACCTGGGCAGGTGATTCAGGCTTTATTGAGGGAGGAATTGAGGTCTGGTGGACAAACATGGTGTTCTAACCACAGCCCAACTATTGGTCCACAGGAAACATCCTGTTACTATTATGAAGATAAAGTGCTACTTTATTTTTCTTCTCCTTCTATTTTTTTTTTTTTTTAAATAAAGATTTTTCTGAAAGTCTTCCTTTCCATTCTGATTCCATTCAAGTTAGCGGGGCAGGAAGGTCTCAGCGCAGCCATGCCTGCAGCATTAGCTAATCAGACTCTCAAGAAACATTCCATTCCGCTTAGGAGGGCCTTGGAGAATGGTTTGCTCATGGTGGCTTTTAAAGTACACAGAGAGTTGCCAGGCTGAAGAAACTCCCTATGGGGCTGGTGACCTGGTTTGTGGCTGGTGCCCAGCAGGCCTGCCTCCTGCTAGCATGTAGACTCTGTGTGTGTGGGGGGGGTGGTGGTGGTGGTGTTTGAAGTGGAAAGTCACAAGTTCTGTCTCTTAACATTCTAAAATTGGTGGGAAACTGAGGCTTGAGAACACAACAATAAAAGCAACAATTACAGCCAATACACAAGAGCACTTGGCGTCAGCTCTTATCTACAAACATCAAGAGGTGAGGTATGATGGCAGAGTGCCAAGAGCGAAATGGTTTCAGTTCCTGGTTTTATCATATGCAGCTGTGTGACCTTGCATAAGTAACTGAGCCTCTATCTACCTATTTATCTATTATCCATCCACACATCTCTTTCTATATAATTATTATCAGAGACATGATACAGGTGACTTAATAGAATTTTCTAAGTACATTTGGCAGTATAGATCGCCCCAAAGGGCTGGTTGAAAATACAGATTCCTAGTGTCAACCTTTAGAGTTTAAGGAAAGACTCAGCCTCCCCCTGCCCCAGGATCCCCAATGACTCCTACCAGGCAACTTTGTAATGTAGCCTTCTTGTTTTGGTGTTTTTGTGTGCCTGCCCCTATGTTCTCGCCTTTGTGTGAAGGTGAAATAATTTTAAAAAGGTCAAATATTATTACACTGTATATTCTCAAGGAATATATACAAGTATATTGTACTTTGATAGATTTATCCCTCAAAAGCTAATAGGATCTGGTGTGTGTGTGTGTGTGTGTTGTATAGGTATGTAATTAGCATCTTATTTTGCTATTCAAAGGCATGTACTTAGTTTAGTTAAATAAGTGTAACTGGAATGACTGCTATATGCTGTGGCTACAGTGACAACATACAGACCCTGTCTTTGAGTGGCTTACTTAGACGCCAAGAAGAAGGCAATCAAATAGACAGAGGGGAATTAGCTCAATTGGTAAGGTGCTTGCCTAGCATGCATGAAGCTGTGGGCTCACTCCTCAGCATGGTGGTGGTGTCCCCAAAAGACAGAGGGAAGAGGATCAGACATTCAAGATCATCCTCTGGTATATATGGAGCTTGAGGTCAGCCTGGGCTACGAGACCTTTTTACAGAACAAAACACCTCCACAAATACAAAGCCGTGATTAAACAGAGTTAAGCCTGGTAAGCTATGGTTCATCAAAGAGGTGCCTATACCACAGAAGCTGGGACGTGCTAGCTGTGCAAGAGTCCAGTCGTGTGAAATCCTTTTGCCTAGGGCTAGGGTTCTTTCCCAGTCTATCACTGAGGAGAATCCAGGTTCCCATCAGGTAAGCACACACATGCAAAAAGCTCCAGCTCCTACTCTGGACAGAGCCCTGAACAAGATGCCACAGAGTACACAGAGGAGATGAGGGGATGAGGAGATGAGGGGATGAGGAGATGAGGAGATCCTGCCCCCGGGAGTTTACAACTATTACTGTTCAGGGCTCATCTCTCAACAGAGCATCAGTCCATCTGGGTCCGTTTATTATGCGCATATCAACCTCTTCTCTGAAAACGCTGTTAATTCTTAAGAGGTGACTCTCTCTTAAGGGGGGGGCATACATTTTACCTAGGAGGAAATAAAGTTTGTGCAGGATTTCACCCAGCTGTTTGCAGATCCAAGATGTGAATCTGTGGCAACCCGGATGGAGGTATAAGGTCTGTGAATATCAGGAACAGATGCTATAATTTCCTTTCCTCTGGGTAGCATGAACATCAAGGCCTTTTTTGTTTGTTTTTTGAGATAGGGTCCCTTTATTATGTAATCCTGGCTGTTCTGAAACTCACTATGTAGACAAGGCTGGCCTAGAACTTAGATCCACCTGCCTCTGCCTCCGAAGTGTTGGGATTAAAGGTGTGCACCACTGGGCTGGAGAGGTGGCTCAGTGGTTAAGAGCACTGGCTACTCTTCTAGAGTTTTACAGGTTCAATTCCCAGCACCGACATGGCAGCTCACAACTGTCTATAACTCCAGCTCCAAGGGAGCTGACACCCTCACACTAATGCACATAAAATTAAGTTAAAAAAAAAATAAGAAAAGGTGTGTACCACCACACCCTACTGACATAAGTGCTTTTAAAAGACATAATTCCTCCCGGGGATGTGATAATCAGAGAGTGTTTAATCAAAGGCAAAGAACAAGAAGACAGGTGCATCCTTTTCCTTTCACACCTGTCTCTCCGTGAAGCTTCGTTCCCATCTTGCAGGGGATCCTGAGACCCAAGGGATGCCTGGAGGCAGATTGGACACTCGGTGGTCTGCATGCCAGTTCTGTGTCCAGACTAGTCTCATTTCATTATCTTGGCTGCTCAAGTCTCCCCAAACACAACACTGAGCTTCCTAGTCCTGATTCTTAGAAGGCCAAGGTTGAAGAACCTGCCTTCGGTTTCTTGCCGACTTGCTCCCACTTCCTGCCACACTGCTCCCCTTTATCTGCCTGGTGAAACTCAACCACCCTTCAAAGCCCAGCTCAAGTGTCACTTCTCCCCTTGGTCTGAATCAATTTCTCCCTCCCTAGCATGCCTTGGTTTGGTATTGTCTCTCGTTACTTCTTGGTGTGGTGGCCTGGGCTCCTCAGTTTCCTCTTGGGCACAGTAGTAATCTGGTAATCTGTAACTCCTTTCATATCAGGCCTTGCGATGACAGCTGCCAGATGGGCTCACTCCCTGTCCCACCCTCTTTGGGACTTTACCCATGATCTCATTTAATCGCCAGCCATATCGCCAGTAGTATCTTCATGTTAAACAAGAGCAAGGGGCCGTCCAGAGAGGTGAAGCATCTCTCACCAGGTCACACAACTAGGTAGGATTACATAGATAGTATACAGCACAGCTGGACTTGCCATGTGCCACAGCTGGGGCTCTAATCGCTGGACCAGCTTCGGTGCCGGCTCCCTGACTTCCTGGCCCAGTGTCTGGGAGGAGAGAACAGAATACAACAGAATACGTGGTGTGCTTCCAATAGTTTTGGGGGTTCGCCTACTCCCTCCCCGAAAGCCCACCCACGGGCCAGACTTCACCGGACTGCGGTCTAGAAGAAAGCATGGCTGTGACCTGGACAAGAGGCACACTCCACCCGAGGACAGGGAGGGAGGGAGTCCCAGGCTGGGGAGTCCGTACTGACCCACCGGCACAGGCTTGTAGTTCTGGACCGTTGGAGCAGCGTCCCGGGTCCCGAGTCCTAGGAATGTGGGAGGGCTGGGCGGGCAGGGAGGGGGCGCTTCCTCCGGCCGCGGGAGGCGAGACGCTAGTGCTTGCACCGGGGCCCGCCACCGCCCACTGGCTCGCCGGGGGGCGGGGGCCGCGGCGAGAGGGCGGCGAGGGGCAGCCGAGCACGGGAGTCGCTCGGCCCGCCCGGGCGGGAGGAAGCGATGAATATTCAGAGGGGGAGGGGAGGAGAGGGAGCCGAGCGCTCGGCGCGGCTCCCTGCAGCCGGAGCCGCATGACGCGCGGAGGAGGCAGAGGGAGCAGCCCGGGCCGCGGGAGCCGGGAGCCGGGCGCCGCGCGCGGGGGGTGGGCGCTGCTCGCTCCGCCCCGCGAAGCCCCTGCGCGTCCGGGGCCGCGGCCGCTCCGCGCCAGGCGCGCTAGGCTTCGCCGTGTGGCCGCCGCCGCCGCCGCCGCTGCTGCCATGTCCCCGGGGAAGCCCGGGGCGGGCGGAGCGGGGACTAGGCGGACCGGCTGGCGGAGAAGGAGGCGGAGGCGGCGGCTGGAGGCGGAGACGAGGGCGCCAGGCTTCGGGCACACGGCGGGGCGCGTCCCGGGCACGTTCCAGGGCGCGCAGGGCATGAAGCCCGCGGCGCGGGAGACGCGGACGCCACCGCGCTCGCCTGGGCTCCGCCGGGCGCTGCTGCCGCTGCTCCTGTTGCTACGCCTGGGCCAGGTAAGCCTTCGAGCGGGCCTGGGCGTGCGCGAGGGGGGCAGGGCGCGGGCCGAGCTGGCATCGCCTGCACCTGCCCGTGTGTTACCAGCTCGAGGATTGCCCGGCGTGAGGCTGGGGGATCGCGGTCCCGGGAGCCTTCCTCCTGGAGGGGGCCGGCGGGGACGTTGGCCCGCCTCCCGCTCCCGCCACCGAGCCCCTTGCCTGGCTGCCGGGTGCCAGGGGAAGGGCAGGATCCCGGGGCCCCCTGGGTGTCCCCGCGGTGCCCGCCGACTCGGCTGCAGGCGGCGGTGGCCCGGCCTTCCCCGGAGCTGGTCCCATCTGGCCGGCGCGGGCCCAGTTCGCGCGCCCGCTGCGGCCGGAGGGGGCGTGTTTGGGGAGGGCTGTGGACGCGGAGCAGGGCCGGCAGCCAGGCCGGCCTCCGACCTGGCCTAGAGGGCTCGGGGGCTTGGGCGGAAAGGCAGTGCGGTACCCCGGTGCTCGGGCACAGGGCCTGGCGCTGGGCAGTCGGGCGGGGGACCTCAGGACGGAGGGCGCTGTGTGTGGGGAAAGTTCCCAGCCCTGCCAAGGTGGCCGCTCAAAGGTGTCCCCTGAGGCTGCCGGCCCTGTTCTCATCATCACGCCCCAGATGGTGCCGGCTCTCCTGGGTGTGTATTCCTGCTTTGTGGGCACTAGCTAACCTGCGTCCCTCCGAATCTTTTTTTTTTTTTTTTTATTCGTGCTTCAGTTCTTTTTCGATAATGTTGCGACCCGAATGTTGGATCTTTCCTTTCTGTGGTATTTCCTTGGCGGGGGATGTGATGCAAGGCAGCTTGGGGACATTCCCATTTCGAAGATAGGGAAGTGAGGGGAGAGAAGTGAAAGAGTGGAATCACCCAGCTGGTGCTGCGGGAGCTGAGCAAGCGAGTTCTGCCTCACAGCCTTCTGGGAGCTAGCTGGCAGTGGTCTTGAACCCTGCAGCGGGAAGTGGCCTGGAAGATGCCCTTGTCTTGCTTTTTTTGCTAATTAAAGTCTCACTTGCTTTATAGACACCATCTCCAAGCAGACAGTGAAACACAAATGAAGCATTGGCTTGGCATGGAACCTGGCTTCAAGGGGAAACTTTGCATGCACACTCGCAGGGTTGTCTGAGAGGAAGCATACCCACCTGGGCAGCAGAAGGGAGCCTGAGTTGGTGGGGTGCCCCGACTGTCAGCAAGAGTCACTTACAGTCTCTAGGGTAGGGTTTGTGCAGGTCTCAGGGAGGCCTGGCGTGTGGTGTTTCTCCCGGCGGATAATTCTTCACTGGGGTGGGTGTGAGATGAAGCCTGCCAGTGTCTGAATTTGCCCCCTTTCTTCCTCCTTCCATCTTCAGTGAAGAGCATCTGTAGAAAGGGGGTCAGACCGTTTCATAGTACAATTTTTTTTTGAAGGGCTTCCATTGGACAGTGTCTGGAAGAATTTGGTAAACATCAAGAAAATAATCACTTTTCATGTAATGCTTTACCAGATGGAATTACCATTAGGGAACAGTATGTATGGGCTGTCTTCACCCTGTCCCCGTAGGAAATTCATGTGTAGCAGTCTTTAAGTTTAAAGAAAAAGAACTGCTTCATATTTGAAGTCCCTCCCCCTCCTATCCCCAGGAATTCACTCTGTAGGCTAGGATGGCTTCAGACTCACTGAGATCTGTTTGCCTCTGCCTTCCATGTTACAGGGGTGGCCTGGTCTTGAAGTACTCTTATACTAAAATTTATATAGAAACATTTGAGCTGCACTTCTCTTTAGTTTAATTTGGTAAATATATATCTATATATATTACTTTAGTTTCAACTATAGAAGTTGCAAGCTGTGCTTTGAATCAGCAAAAAGTATCTTGGGTAAATTTATTTCTTGCTCAATCCTCCCTTGTGTTTCATTAGCTGCTCTCAACTTGCCTTGTATTTAGTTATTTCCTTCCTCTGTAGTTCTGTAGAAACTCAAGAGTACTGTCTTCATATTCTTGTTTTATATTTATTACAAAACAAGAAATGTAAAAGGTTTTGTGAAGGAATATCTCCAAAAAATGACATTTAGCAGTTTCATTTTGATATTGACTATTCCTGGGAATTGGTGTCCCCTCTCCCCCGCCTTCTCTGTGGAGGAGATGGAACCCAGGACGGGGAATGAGCACTATCCCCCGGTTTACATTCTCAGTTCCAAAGCAGTGCAGTTTTGAACTGGCTCAAAGGTCACCGAGGAAGAGTTCTCCCTGCACAAGCATGAGGACTTGAATTCAAATTCCTACCTACCTGTATAAAACATGGAGCATTGTCACGTGTGCCAGGAACTGCCATGCTCTTCGGAGTGCAGACAAGAAGATCACTGGGCCTTGTTGGCTACCAACCCACCTCTAGAGTCAGTAAGAGATCCTGTCTGAAAGGAGTAAGACAGTGAGTGAGGTTGGGCATGGTGGTACATGCCTCTAATCCCAGAACTCAGAGGCAGGCGGATCTCTGTGAATTGAGGCCAGCCTGGTCTACAAGGGAAATCCTGGACAGCCAAGGCTACATAGAGAAACCCCATCTGAAAAACAAAACAACCCTCCCCCCCCCAAACAGAGGAATAGAGCACAGGCATATTCATCAGACACATGTACATATTATCCTCAACGCCCATATTTTTAAAAGATAAGCTTTTTGGGGGTGGGGGATGGTTCAGGGTTTCCTCATGTAGCCAAGCCCTAGCTGGTAGAGTTCGTTATTTAGACCAGGTTGCCTGCTGCCTCTCAAGTTTTGGGATTGAAGTTGTGTATCACCATGCTTGGTGATAGCTCTGGTCTTTGAAGGCAGCTCTGGCTCTTCAAACCTCTTAGATAAGGATACTGGAGTTGATAGAGGAGGGACTGAGGTTACTTGGCAAGATAGGATCGTGAAAAAGCCAAGAGTGGAACTTGAGATACCAGCCTGTGCCTGGTCTTTTTGACTGTTTTCTCTTCGGGTACAGGGCCGTAATACTGTGTGTGCCCCAAACTGCTTACAAGTTGAGTTTAAAAGTCGACTAGACAAGGCTTACAACTGTCTCCAGCTTTAGAGGCTCTGACCATCTCTTTTGATCTCCACAGGAACCCCATACAGTTGGCAGCATAGACACACATATACATACGTAAAATAAAAATAATTACCCTTTAAAGTAAGTCAGTCAGATTTGAGATATTTTTGAAATTTGTCTGTGTAGGAGATAAGAGGGAACATACTTGATGGCCTCCCTAACAGTTAATTGTTTTTTATGAAGCTTTCTTATTACAGTACAATCAATAGTAATGGGGGGGGGGGGAGACGAAAAAAAGGTAAAAAAAAAAAAAAAAAAAAAGGAGAGGTCACAGAAAAGACCCAGCTCTGTTTGGACACTAAAAGGATGGAGTGTGGAAGCTGGAAAACTGAGTCGCCAGAAGGCTCCATTATTAGGCCCAGAAAAGCCACTTCTGAAACTCATTCCCTCTCTCCAAAACAGGAAGGGCAGTCAGGGCCTACTCTCTTTTGAGGATGTTCGTGAGTGTGCTGTCTTAACTGGCCCCTTTCTGGGTGCATTTCTACACTCTGGTTTTGGTTTATGTGTCTATTAGGCACGGTGGCAAAGTGATCTCTCCTTCCTCTCTTGAGACATAGAGTCCTGACAGGTTCCTTTTATTAGCAGTCTGCGCTAAAGTATAATAATAGTTAATAATAATAGAAACAAAAGAAACAAAAACAACCGGTAGCCACTCGGTTGCTCTCACAGTGAATCCTTTTGCTTTGTCTTGTGCCTCTGCTCCCTGGTGGAGGATAACTTCGTATTTTAATGTATTGTGGCTAGTTTGTAAGCCTGATTACTTTCCTGCTCCAACCAGAGTACACACACTAAATATTTTGACTCCTCTAATAGCTTTTTAAGTTCTCACCGGAGTGACTTTATTTTTGTTTTGCTTCAGAACAACAAAGGAAAACCCAACCATTCTGTTTTGTTTGCAGACAGTTTAAGAAAACAGAGCAAATTGGTTTATGGTTAGTCTGTGACTTTGGGCTAACTTCAAGTTCAGCCCCAGGACAAAGATGACCAGGAATACCCAAACTTCCCTGAGCAGAGAGAATCCTGGCTCCGGAGCGAGCAATTTTGGTCAGCAAAGAGGTTATTTAGCTCCTAAAAGTAATGCTTGAGGCGGAGGCCTAGCTGCCGGATGGCTGTAGGCCTGGCTTTAACCAGTGTATCATAAGTAATTACTTCTTAGTTCATTCACTTCTTGGTCAGGGGAATTATTTTGAGTGCTGGATAAGATGCAATTTTCTGTGTATTTCCCTTCTCACATCATGCCACCGAT